CCGCCCCCCCCCCCCCCCCTACCGTGCAAAGCTAAGCCACATCAATGCAGCAAACACCGCCATCAGCTAGAACAAGCGCACCAGCCTAGCAGCTCAAAGGCACACAGGACTGCGGTTGGCAACTACCTTCGCAGGGCGCATATTGATTGCCTGAAACACACCAAAAGTGATCCGACCCTGTTTTGTCACAGGGCTCAGCGTTGGCTTGCTTGTCTACTTGCCTCCTTCGAGTGCCTCTTTTTGGTTGCTGCTTCCCTGCTTGCTGCTGCTCGAGGCGCTCCGACGCCGATTTTATGCGAAGGCTTGCTGGTATCTGTGGCAGATACGGTAGTTCCCTTGATATACCTAGCTGCCTGTGGCCATTCACATTATCACGATTGTTTGCTGGCACTGCTGCACGCGGTGTCTTCGACTCTAATGTTGTCAGGAATGCCGCTCTAGAAGGACAGGCCCGATTTTCCAGAATTGATGCACAGGGAGCTCATGGGCCTATCCCTGGGCTTCTGGGACCGGGCGATGACGGCGAACACAATCTGATGTAGCATAGTGCAAAGGCATGGTGCAGCAGAATACAGTTACTCTAGTACAGATGTCGAGTCTGAATTGGCATGGTATACCTGGAGTCAAGCACATGTGAAATGGGATTGTCGCGAAACTGTACATTTCCAGGATCACATATCACTGCGCGGGCGTTCAATGTGCCGCCGGTTACCGAAGACGTGAGGTTAGCCCCTTCTCCCTGCCTGCATGCAGCCACTGGATGCAAAGACTTGCTACCGCCATCGCATTCAACAATGCTAGATTCACGTTACGTCAATGCAGCAAAGGTCTCTCCGTCCTGTCATAGTCCATTTTCACGCCTTTGCACAAAAACAGCGTGAGCTGTTTGAGGTCTGACCAGAGCCAAAAAACCGCTCTTGTCACTGCCCTTACTGCCCGAGAACGGCCTACACATGACCGAGTTCTGTTCTAGAAGCTTTCGCATGCCACGATGCACATCTACATTGACACGTACCTGGTGCGCTGTCCAGTTTATTGTGGTTTGCAAGTAGGATGCACAGGATGCCATGCATGATCATGTAGGTCAAGACAATCTGTTCAACGGGTTCAAAACGTCACAAGGGTTCAAAGCCTTAAAGCACTAAACCGTATACCCTAAACTCCAAACAAAGTTCCCAAGAGTGGCGGCCTCCAAAGCCCAGTCAGGACCGTCGCGGACAGCAGCACAAGTCAGCCTCGAAGATGAAAAGAACCAGACAGTTTAGGGTTTAGGGTTTAGGATTTTGGGTTTAGGGGCAAGAGAGCAACAATGAGTTCTAGCAAATGCCTCGACTGCTTGAAACCACTGGGCCTTAACGGCCCCATTACACGGCTCAGGGCCTTCTTCGCACTGGAAGGCTCTCAGCCCTGACTTCTTTAGGTCATGCGGATGAAGCCTCAGCCCTAGATCCTGATATGATAAGGGGGTTTCCGAAAATAGGGGACCCTAATATACCACCCCAAAGAGTAGGATCCTTATTATAAGGGCCCCATAATAAGGTACCCTAATCTTCGGAAACTCCCATAAGGATCCAAGGTTTGGGTTTAGGGTTTAGGGTTTAGGGCTTAGGGTTTAGGGTTTAGGGATCCTGAACCGATAAGGATCCGAGCAGCTTCCTTCGTCTGAGACTCCCGGCCCGGCACTGGTGCAGCCCAGGCCGCTGGTGCGGATGCTGCGGCCGCCGAGCTCCTGCGCTGCCTCAAGGCATACCCTTTAAAGGGTTCTATAGGGTTTAGGGTTCATGGGTAGTTCTAAGTGGGGTTTATGGGGGTCCTTTAAGGGTTCCTTTAAAGGGTTCTATAGGGTTTAGGGTTCATGGGTAGTTATAATTGGAGTTTTAAGTCCCCTAACCTGGGTTATAGTTATTGCTACCCTACTTATAACCCTGCTTATAACTACCCATGAACCTGCAAGCAGTACCAGAACGACGGGCGGAGAACTCATCCAAAATCTATGACGATATAAGCAATATTAAGATATTCTGCAAATATCACTACAAAACTATATAACTATATAACTATATAACTATATAACTATACACACACATACACATACCGATGCGCAATCTAGATTTATGTAGACCCAGCACATATACTGTAGGTGTACTCTTGAGAGGGCTTCGTCAAAGCCCACATCCCTCCGAGCCTGAAGCAGCTGCGACTTGCCCGTGCCAGGATCGCCCAAGAGAAGTAGATGTGGCCTGCAGTACGGAGGGAGTGACTAGGCACTGGTGGGTCCACCTTCAGAGGATCTTTCGGCTGCACCCATCATCTAATCGAAATCTAACCAACCTCGTCATCATTGTCAGCAACCACCAGGCTTTTCGCACTAGGGGATTCGGGTATGCTACCGAGAGCTGGGCGTTGTCCGGCTGTGCCGCGTTGCATTGCCATCTGCTTGCGCAGGAGCAGAGGCCGGCTCTGCAGGATCCTGCAGCACAGTACTTCAACTGACCGGCAGCGGCCGCAACGATGACGACAAGAAGAAGAAGAAGAACAATGACAAGAATAAGAAGAAAAAAAACAAGTGGCACAAGTATGAACATTGAAACAATGACGTCAGGACAGGACAATAAAGACATAACCGTTGGACTTAGTTAGATGAATGCAACTGCTTTTGTATCACTCTCAAACACCATCATCATCATCACCATCATCATCATCATCATCACCATCATGGTCATCATCATGGCCATCTTCATCGCCGTCGTCACGATCTGTTGGTTAACACCACCAGAATCACTCGACTATAAACATCGCTGCTGAATCTGAAGGTCTTGTAGATATGCAACTTGTCTGTTATTTCGGATGGGTGTGGAAAGTGTAGAGACCCGATCTTGCCTTGCCTCTGCACTTGCCATTGGCCTGAAGACCAAAGGCAGTAAGCTTCTGCTGGATGCGATATTTCCGTCACCGCTAAGATCCGCGCATGCTCTGCACTTCTTTCCCGTCCAGGAACCTACGAAAGAGCAGCGTCGCAGCAGAGTCCGGTGAGTGCTCAAGTCAAGAGCGACAAGTTCCGTACAAACTACGCTCACATGAACCCGTCCTTCCCCAGCGAGAGTCCATCTCGACAGAGTTCGAGGTTGCCTTACTAGACACGCACCCTACCCTAAACCCTGGCCCAAGAACTCCTAAACCCTAAGCCTTAAAAGCCTAAAAACCCGAAGCGGCTTTTCGGAGGCACTGCTCAGCACCCTGGTGGTGCATACCTCAGTCCCTGGAGACTCCGCCTCCGCAGGCCGCCCCTCGGACTATTCAAACTGGCAAGGTTTTCACATGCGGCCTTGCGCATGATTTTCCAGAGACTCCAAAGATCCCGACGAAGACATCCCATGCAGGTTTAGGGTGTAGGGTTTAGGGTTTAGGGCCCTGCTCTGATCGAGGGAACAGGCCTTATAATTACTGTGAGCGATTTTGCAGGCTCTGGGCTGAATGTGTCCTTGCCCTTTACACATTTGGCACCGCATCACGCTGCAGCGGCCCCAAAAGATACGGAAGGCCCGTTGCGGCTTTGACAGCAGGCCACCTAGACTACAGGCTACTACATGCTATGAACCATGCAAGGAGCTGGGCCGAGCCAGAGTCGTTTCTTCGCAACCCTTGGACTCTATCGCTCATCCTTTCGAATCTTCTGATTTTGCTTGACAGAAGTCATCTGCTGAAGGTTGTACCTAAAACGTGAGCCGTATGATGAAACATCGCACATGTAGTATCTGTGCCAGATGTATGCATGTATGTGTGTAGGTATGCATGAATGCCTACACGCATGTACGTGTGTTCGCTTGCATGTATGAACTATTATGAACTTTATGAAATGGCTGCGCATGTGTCGAATCGATTCCTGTTCGGCTCAGTGAAGGCAAACGTCACAAATTCACGCATCGGGACGGCGTGGGCGTAGCGTCTGGAACCACGGAACCGCCTTGCACCTCACACCTCGCGGGAAAGAGGTTCTGAGCTTTTGAGCTTTGCAGATGCTGTGAGAACATGTAGAACGACACCCCAGAACTTCTGCTCTGCTAACAAACTCATCATAAACACGAATCCCCACATGGGCATGAGGCGCAAAGGAACCGAAAATCAATTCGAAGCCAAGACTCATCGAAATTATCAGATAAGACTACTACATGTCTACAATAAGGCTACAATCAGGTCCTTCTACTGTTGACGACATTATGGCTACTGAAATACTGTAAGGTCACAAACAAGTTACTGTTAACCATGCCCGGGTGCCATCACAGATCCTTCAACTACTTGTAGGTTCACGGGCAGTTATAAGTATGGTTACAAGTCCCCTAATCTGGGCTATAATTATAGTTACCCTACTTATAACCCCATTTATAACTGCCCATGAACCTCCAAGTACCGTAACTTCGGAAAAGCCCTGGAGCCTAAACCCTAAACCCTAAACCCCTCGGCAGGATGGCTCGTCTGACAAAAGGCCGCAGCCGGCCCTGCCCCGTTTCTGTCAGGTCTTGCTACGCTGAGGGATGAAACCTTGCACTTCCCTAAATTCCCTAAACCCCACTAGGGTTTAGGGCTTTTTTTTGAGGGCCTTTTTGGTGTAGGGTTTAGGGTATAGGGTTTAGGGTTTAGGGTTTAGGGTGCAAAGCGACTCCAATCAGACACGACCCAGTGCAGGCCTCGAGTGCCCAGGGCTGCGAGCGAAGCGAACGGAAATGGAGGCACGTCGAGCTCGGGATGCACCTCCGATCATTTCCACCGTGTGCACCTTGGGATGCAGACAATACTGCTATCACCAACAATATGAGAAGTAGCAGTAGCAATGCTATTTGTTATAGTCTTAGTTTTAGATTTAGTCTTAGTCTCATTGTTGGCATTACTTTCGCATTGTTGGCAGTTTTAGTAATTTAGTGGTTTTGTTTATTGCTGTGTCGGCCTCAAGCTTTGACAATTGCACTTTCAGTGCGGGAAGCCCCATGGACAGGTTGCCGAAGGCGACACCTACGCTTGTGGCCCCAATACGTTTCATTCCATGGGCCGGTGCTCCAAGCCATGAGGGTTTGGGGTTTAGGGTTTAGGGTTTTAGGGTTTAGGGTTTTAGGGTTTAGGGTTTTAGGGTTTAGGGTTTAGGGTTTAGGGTTTAGGACCATTTCTGAAGAGCCTTTGGGCTGCATGCGACCGCCGTTGTACATGTTTCCAACACCGGGGTTGCATTATTGCCTCGCGCAAGCAAGCTTCGAAGTCTGCTCAGGCCCACACCACCCGATCTTGAAAGTCCGCCGCATGGAACGACTCCACTGCATCTTGACAGGGAAATGTAAGCCCTACGCCCTAAAACCCAACATCACTTCTACTTCTGCTGATAGCCCTCCCGTCTCTGTCACATGGGGGGTTTCATGAGAACACGGGGCGCATTAGATACACCCCAAATAGTAGGATCCGCATTTTAGGGACCTGTAGATGGGACACCACCACTTCCAAGACACCCCAATTCCAGTGCCAACGGCATCCGATTTCCGAGGCCTGACGACACGTCTGCCAGATCAGCCGAGGCCTGCCCGATGGCATCATCAGACCAACAGACTCAGACCCAACAGTCCAAACTTCAAGGTCCTAACTCTCGGAAGAGCCCCTACTTGGAGGTTCATGGGTAGTTATAAGTATGGTTATAAGTCCCCAAATCTGGGTTATAATTATACTTACCCCACTTATAACTCAATTTATAACTACCCATGAACCTCCAAGTAAAGTCCTAAAGCCCAGAAAGATGGCCTTGTCCAAGAGAACAATCTGCGACTTCGCAGAGTAGGCGTCCACAGATGTTGCCTCGCAGGACCGGTTTTGCCCCAGTACAAACTGCTCATAACAAAGGCCTTCATGGTACGACATGCTGCCATCATCACATATTATGTATATGCACACAACTGCATGAATGAGCATGTGTAATCCGAAGATCCAGATTTAAAGAAAATTATTTCGGCTGGGCGGCTGGGTTTGGGTCTGGAAGATTACTTTCAATCGTGGCAAAATTTCGTATGGGGAAAAGGGACCAGATTTAAAGAAAAAAGCAGAGGCAGAGGCTGCCTTCCGGAGCTGAGCTTCTTCCAAAAGCTGAGGCCCTTCAGAAAGCTAGGCTTTCTTAACAAAGGCCTTGCAAAAAGAAGACATTCTTCATATTTTTTCCTGAGCTACATGTACCCCTTACGGCGTCTGCCGGGCAGCAGCCCCAAGGAGCCGGGATGAGCCTACAGAGATTCCATTCATGCAGTTCCCGCGATCCTTACTGGGGGGAGGGAGGCCCCCCTTACTATTTAGAGTCTAGATACTCGGATTAGTACATACCGCACAGTCTTGATTCCTGTCTATGACTTTGATGGTCACCGCCACCGCCGTCAACTTCCATCGAAATTGTTGTTTGCACTACTGGCGTGGCTATATTCGCATATTGCACTAGTGTAAGCTGCCTGTGATGCTACCTCAACCGTTGGGTTCTGGATATCGGTGATATTGTGACCGCTATGGTATCATGAGTACGATTAGCTACCACCGATGACATCAACTCATGCTCTCTGAACCTGCTCTTGCTATACCAACCCCATATCCCCTTACAAGCCGCTCAGCAAGCAAATTTCTGGGCATCCCTGTCTGGGAAACCCAAAGCCAAAAAGTACAGATCGTAAGTACCCACGAGCGTTCAAGCAGAAATCAGCCGTGCTATGCTGCTACTAATATGACTTGGCGACCCTGTGGAGTGCCAACACAGCCAGATGCCAGAGAGCCCAAACAGCAAATTGGCAAACTAAAACCCTAAACTTTATACCCACAACCCCGAACCCCCAATACCTTCAACCCGTTTTCCTCGTTGGTTTCCGTCAGACTCATGTCTCCACGCTCTGCGGCTTTGGTCAAATACCTGTGGCACATGGGGGGGGTTCTGACGATTCGGGGATTTCATACCAAGGCTACTACGGCCATGGTCCTGCTATTTGGTCCCTGATTTCTTAGACGCTGGCAGTGAAGCTTACTGTAGGGGTGCTACACGGTTTATAGGGTTGCTACAAAGGTTACCATAAGGCTACTATCACTATCACAAACCCCACAAGCCCAAAAAAAAACACCTAAGTGCATCCGGCTGCAGCTTCCGCAAGCGCGCGTTCTTGATCGGAAACTTGTAAGCGTGGTAGGCAATCAGCAGCTCGCCTATCAAAATCAATCTAAGGGTTGCATGAAAGATGCTCTGAGAATGCGCATAAGGGTTTCTATAGGGGGTACTTTAAGGTTCCTATAAAGGTTACCGTTCGGGTCGCTCTAAGGTTACTGTAAGTTTAAGGGTAGTGCAAACCTATTGTAAGGCCACTGTAACAGCACAAGAAGACCTCTAGGTTTTCGGACTTAGTCAGAGTCGCGAGGACAGGAGAATCCGTCCAGCTGTTGTCGCCAAACACTCATGCGCACGACTTCCACCAACAGCCCCGAACCCAAATGTGCACCTGCCACGAGAAAAGCGAACCTAGCTTGCGCACCAGATGAACGTAGCAAGAGATCTTCTAAGGTGCACGTGCTGGCCCGCAGAGTCTTGAAGTGAATTGTTGACACGCTAGTAGCAAGTAAGTCAAGCCAACTCTGCTGAGGCACACATCGGAGCAAGGAAGCCGATGACGAAGCGGACGTAAGCCGGCAAGGACCTGAGGGGTCAATTAACTGGAGCTTCCGCAGCAGGGTTTTTGGTCTCCCGGCTTTCTGTGAAGGATTCGAGCAGGCGGGGATTTTGGTGTTGTGCCACAGGCTTACTAGCTTTAGTGGTTGCTCCTTACTACGGGTCGACGCGTCTAGGTGCACCTTCAGGATTTCGACTGTGGCGGTTGCTTCCTTTACCGTTTCTGTCTGGCTTGTTCCGTTTCCCCGTCCTTTCCTATCCCTGACTTGAGTACGTCCGTGGGTTTCAAAACCATCCTTCCAACTTCCTTCAATGTCGCTGCATGCTTCGGCATCAAAGTAAATTTCCGGTGTTCTGGGTGCTGCACTCTGGCTGCCGGTTGATGACATGGCGAAAGCAGTCATCAATGCCTCAGTGAACAGAAACCGTTGGATTCGAGCGTTGTTCTGGTGCAGCTACGGAAAGGGCCAGCAGGATGCCAGCAGGTTTACTGCACACATTATTTTCAAGGCGTTGTGTTAAGCTTTTGTCGGCTTTGCTTGCCAGGCAAACAGTCTTCGAACTATCTCCACTACCCAGTGATATGTATCACCCGACAGCTCCGCAAGGACAAAGAATGACAAGGAGCAGGTCGAGACGCCATCACTGCCTGGAAGGCATCAAACGATCAAGCAATGGGATTCAAGCACTCTGGGACACTACTTGGAGGTTCATGGGTAGTTATAAGTATGATTATAAGTCCCCTAATTTGGGTTATAACTATATTTACCTTACTTATAACTCCATTTATAACTACCCATGAACCTCCAAGGAGGACTCCATGCTCGCAGGATGATGGCACTGCCAGAAACCGTCGCAAGATTATGTGCCGCTGCACCAGCAAGGTGACCCTCACAACCCTGAGCCGAAGGTTGGTCAGTAGTCACAGTCCGATGGGTCGCATCAACATTCCTGTGATGGTTTCCTCGCTGGTCTTCCTGTATGACAGGACAGGATGGTACGGAGAACTTCCGGGAGGAGTGCGGGGATGCTTGGCATCTGCATATCTACAGGACAGTGCAATCTACCGACATTTCGCGCAGACATCGGGAACACTAACATCCTCCAGCGTGCTTCTCGCCAGTGTTGTTTCGTACCCCTGCTGACTGGGAACCGAAAAGCAGAAGAGTTGTAATGCTGTGCACAATAACCGTGACAGCTGGACTACACTGACAATCCTGTTCTGAGGCATCTGGAAACCGAACATGGCCTGGCCTCTGGGGAGCTGTGACTTGTAAACAATGGCAACACAGCCAAGGCCCCCCACGTGCCTCCCACTGAACAGCTGGCTTCGCAATTTTCTGTTTCCAAACCTGGCTCCAAGAGTTGAAGAACTTCCTCAGCGGCTCCGCCCTGCCTGCCAAGCCAAGCCCGAGGAAGGTCAAGGAGGAGAAGATCGCGGCGGCGAGAATCTGGCAAAATCAGCTGCCCGCCGGTTGGCAGAGATTGGGGAAGCATCGCAAGAATCCTGTTTCCTTTGACAGCCCGCTCTGCCTGACTCATGGAGAGTGCTCCGAAAATCTGGCCTGGCCACCCCGTCAGCGCCATGCTGTCAGACTCATGAGAGGCATGTGACCGGCTTGCCTTCCCGCTTGTTTTGGCGACACTTGCCATCCGCGCAGCGGGACATGCAGTCCTCGGCTTTCGATCCCATTTCTGTGAGGTGATCCTAAACTTGGATGGGGCCTCGTCGACGAGCCAGCACTGTGCGGAGATGCGCCAGAAGGAGAAGCTGCAAAGACCCATCCTGACAATCGAAAGGGAAACATGACAAGGTGTGCCTCACGACTGTACCGTTGAGGCGCCTCGTGATGATCGACCTCGGCTGGGCACCGCAGCTCTAGTGCTGAGATGAACAAATGAAGAAGGACGAAGTGTGCTCACTCGCTGGGTGACAGGCCACACGAAGAGTAAGAACACCTGAGGTTTGGCGCACGCTTTCGGACCGATCTGTCTTATGCCCATCCAGGCCTAGCGCTTTTCCTGCCAAGAGTCAGAAGGCTCGAGAACTCCGATCAAGATGAAGGTGAGGCAGGCATTCACAAGCCGAAAGGAAACGACCTGGGACCCGCCGGCAAAGCACACTGCACTTTTGGCGTCACTCTCTGGAATTGCTACTACACCCAGGCATGCACAATCCGGAGAAGTCGGCGATCACTCTTCCCAGCCATGTCCCTGAATGAAACAGTGGATGCTGTGCACTGCAGCATTTCTGCAAATGCATCTCGCATCCGCTAAATGCATCTTGCCTCAATGAGTCATCTCGCGTGAAAAGGTGCACATACACCAGGTTCATGACCTGGGACATCGGTGCCAAGGTGGTCAAGACCACGCGTGCTACCTGGAACGACCCGATCTTCATGTCTTGTATTTGATGTCCAGCGGCTGCTTCTGTAACTCCCGCAGCTGTGCCAGCCCCAACGATGACTTGAACGCGCTGCCAGCTGCTGAGGCGGAGGACGTAGGTGACATAGTAAAGGAGCCTTTCAGGAGCTTGGCTCTTCCGATCCCACACGTGGGGGTTTCCGAGAATAAGGGACCCTAATATAGTACCCTAAATAATAGGATCCTTATTATAAGGACCCCAAAATAAGGTCCCACGTGGTTCCTGACATCAATCCTACAGCCCAGCGACATGGAAGAAATGCAGACGCCATAGGCTCCGTTCCAGAACCTCAGGCGCAACCATATCACGACGGTCCAACAGCTCCCAAGTTGCAGCTTGGTTGCTTCATGGCCAACCTGAGACTTCATGCAGGCTGAAAGATGATGATCTCTTGCTACGCTATATGTGTGGCGAGCACTATCAGTATGGCCGCGACTGGACTACCGTTGGAAATCGGTATACACCACAGTCAGGACTTCGGGGTTTGATCGCATCAAGCCTTGCGAAGGTCGCCCGATGGCCCCAAACGGCCTATCCTGCAAACCTCTCACCTTCGCGGCGGGGCACAGATGTTGAAGTGCACCTCCAGCTCACGCACTTCGAATCACATTGCACATCCCCTCTCGCTACATGACCCTTCAGCTGTGAAGCTGAGCGGCTGTTTGCTGGAGGCTCAGTCGGCAAATCATTCGGCAAAGAGCGGCAGCAGCGAAGCCAACGCCGCATGCTTCGAGGTAGCGCCTGGAAGGTGTTCGAGTTGACGGCAAAACTTCACAAAGCCTTCTTCTCGCCAGAAAACCTCCCAGACGATGGTGGCGGACCCAGCTGGCTCAGCCTCAACCTGCGCTGGGATTAGAAATCCAAGTAGGCGAAGACCAGATTACCGAGAACTCAATCGTCGGTGAACCGCCGGCACTGAGACAAAGACTGGCTGCTGACAAACTGTTAGTTCGTGCAGCTAATATGCCACTACTGACCTTCGGAGCCACCAGATGCGCACCTTGTGCTCGTCATTCCGGGGGCGAGCCTCCTTGAACAGTGGTACCGCCTGAATCAGACATGAAAACAAGCAACATCTTCTCACTCGACCACAGTCTACATTGTGCGGCCTGCAAACTCAGCAGTCCCACCGGAACGATGTAAAGCACCTGGGCAACAACAGCATGAGTCAATGAGAGGAGTCGTGGCACGGCCCATTGAAGCCTTGGGTTCTGCAAATCCCTGGAAGTGTGTTCATCAGTATGCTTCATGATACTTCCTGAACAGTTTAGATGAAAACACAAAAGACAGCTTGTGCCTCCTCTGTCTCAGTGCTGCTGGGATACAAATGCCAGTCGAACCGTGAAGGATGCATCGCTACTCAGCCTGGGCGCTCGGAGGGTCAGAGAGGGTCCAGCTTGAGCGTTCACACTCACGCGACACTGACATCCACTGGCAAAAGCATGTTCAAAATCGCTGCTGCGTCACACCAGGAAGACCAGTCCTCCAGCACCACCCCCGGCCATACAAGCGTACTTGCAGAGGCCTACGGGCATCAAGGAAACACCGAAACGACGACACGCCGCCCTTCTGCATCTTCTAATAAAAGGAGTCAGTGTTAGTAAGGGTGCCTTCGACAGTGATGCGCTCCTCCTTGAATGGATAAATTTGCTGCCTGTCAGAAGGCAGGATTTCAGGTGTGGCATGTTCCCATGGCCTCTCTGATTTCGCGCCTGGCTGCCTCGAAGGCGATAATGCAGCCCCCAATGCCCCAGCAAGTGATGATCCACATGGCCAGGAACCACACCTAAGAAGGCCCCTGTAACCAAACACGCCGACTCAGGCGCAACTTTGCCGGCAAGTCTCGTAGGCTGGAGCTCCTTCCTGGAAGGGCAGCGCACAGATGAGAAGCAAGAGCCAGCACGTCTGTCCAAGTGCTGCTTTAACGGCAAGTCGCAGGTGGCAGATACATCAGGCTTGCACCCAGAGCTGCGAGGAAGGAGTGCGTTAGAAGCCATGGCCTCAGAAAAAACGCCACGGGAGCCACGTCCATGGAAGCTTGAAAGCTGCCGAAGCCGAGAGCCCGGCGCCCGCCGGCCCCATCTCTGAACAGGAAAAAACCTCAGCGTCTGCGACGGGACAGGCTTGCTTGCAGCGAGCGCAGCGAGCACCTGGCCTGTGCAGAACCTGTCAGGGCGACATGCCATGCCGTTTTTGGGCAATCAGAGCACACTGTGTGCGCACAAACCTTGACCCGGAAGGCCTCTTTGTCCTGAAGACGTCCCAAGAGCATGTCCTCCAAAGACAACCACGGCCAAGCACAGCAATCCGCCTAAAAGTCCTAACGGAAACCCTACGCACGTTTTCACAATTAAACTCCATCACCAAGCACTAAGAACGGTCAAGGAACATTGGCTACAATGTAATAGTCGAGATGCGCAGGCCAGTTCCTACCTGCACTTGCAACACGATGCTTTAGGCCCTGCGATGCAACCTCTTGTTCTATTGAATGGACGTGGGCATACCGTGATATGCCGACATGCGGTTATACCGTTACACACGAACAACATGCGGATTGCGATAGCTGTAGAGAGAGACAGGTACACACAAACACACGACGCAGACGCACAGATAGATGGAGAGGTCGAGAACAGGCAAAAGGAGCAAGAGTTGAATGCAGGGTTTGCCTTTGCTTTTGTGCATCACGTGAGTTCATGGTCTTCAGCAGATACATGCAGCCAGGCAGGCAGGTGACAGCCGTGGTCGGGGAACATTCCAACTGTATCCACGGAAGAGTGAGTAGGCGACGGTTCGTTTCGCTTTGGAGCGGGATTTGTTCCGGAGCTGCAAACCCTGCCAACGTCGCGCTGACTGGCCACCGAAGGACTGAAGTGTCCTGCACAGGGGTCCAGAAAGAAGCCACCGTCACCTGTGCACGCAGCTGCGGAAGCGCTGTGGGGCAGCCTTTCTCTCTCACAGGCCACCATGAAGCACCGAGGCCGGTTCCAGCATGCTAAACATGGTCGCGTCGAGGCCAAACTTCTCCAAATAGATATCTTTCGCAGTGCCAACCACTGACATCCTGGGACTCAACAAACAAAACAAAAAAAAAACCGTGGATGCTCGCTTGCCCTCCGAGGCTCATTCCGAAAGGGCTGAACAAAGCAAGTGCAAAGCGCGTTCTGCGAAACCATGAGTGGCCTGATGGGCCCCTGAGCAGAAAGCGGAACACTGGACCAAGTGACAGCTACCTTTGGGCGCCTGGGCTGAAACGCAAGCGAGTGCAGCTGGCGAAGCCCGCAGGAAGCCCCCTAGCACATGTGGACGCAAGGAAAGACAGCAGAAAAACGAACTCTGCGAAAACTCCTTGTCCGGGCCATCGGCGGCAATGTCTTTCCCCATTGCTCGCACTGATATCTCTATGACATTGTCCCAAGGCCCAAGATGTTCTGTCTCAGTGGTTATCAGCGCAGTACAGGCCGGCTGTCACCTAACTCTAGGTCTGTCCCCGCACGGTGAGATCGACCGACACTGACTGACTTACTGCTGTCCTTCCTCCATGTAGGTCTATTGACAGCCCCTTACGGCTGCTTGCCAAGATTTGCCAAGCAATGAACATATGCGAGACCAGCTCAGACTGATGCAGACGCCCTGCCGAACCGGGGTCCCTACTTCACCACGGTGGGCCTTAGGACAGCAGAGAAATGCAAAGGAGAGATTTGTACAAGTCAGCTGCTGTCCGAGTCGCCGCTCCGCCGATGAGAGTCAGCAATAGCCTGGCAGCCACCGATGATGATTGCTGTCCGACAAAACCCACCAGCAAAATCTGCACAACGGTGTCCGGAGAACGCCAACTTCGGGACAGGCAATCCCGACAGCCACGGCGCTGCGGCTGCAACCAGAGCTGCGCGGCCACTCCACTCATCCGGTGTGTCTGTCCAGTAGCGGTGGAACACTTCCTGCCGACATCGACTTCGAAGAATCCAATGAAGCAACATGCTGCAGGGTGTGAGGGCCTTACATGTGCGAGTCCTGTGTCTCATGGCTCTTGCTGGTCACGATGCCTTCGGATGAGTCCCGAGCCAGGCGCTCCACATTCACCGCCTCGATGAAGAGTTCCACCTCAATTCTCTTGCCTGGAAAAGTTGGACGCCAGCGCTGGTACACGATGCCTTCCACTGTCACAGAGTCCCCAGGTTGGGCGACTCCAACCATGTCTCCAAAGACTGTCACAGCACAGGACTGAGGCACAACTCCGACACCAAGGGCTTGCATGTCATCCTGGACACGAATCTCTTGAAAATCGGACATGCAGTCTTCACTCGCCTGAAGAGCTGCAAATACTTTTGAATGACAGCGCGAAGTTTTGGGGCGCTTTGCTTTGGCATCCCACTTCGTCTTCTTCTCTGCGCCTGGACATTCTTTAGGAATCTCGAAATCATAGCCACAGGCTGGAGAAGCGCGGCAGCCAAAGCTATGGCCACATTGCCTTGGCACAACGACAGAGAGACGGGTCTTCGGCAAGAGCACCCACCTAAACAGCGTTTAGTGCATCTACAAGTGTAGCAGATTGAGTGAGGAAAGCTCGCCCAGCACGTTCTGCAGTACAAAGGCCGAAAAAAAGAAATCTTCAATCATTTGCAGGGCCGTGCTGTCTTACTCTCTTTCTTTCGTCAGGGTTGTGGTGGGGAGTTGACTCCCCACCGCGCATGTGCGCCCCCGCCTGTTGCGGGTGCCAAGAGCATTATGTTGCATGCGCAAACAATGGAGTGCTCGCATAAAAAAGACTCGAAGCACGCAAAAGGTCATAACAATTCCCTCGTAATTACAATTTACTAGAGCCTTTGGCCTTCCAATGCGAGTTTCGGTCGCGTTTCGCCAGGTCAGGCTTTCAAGACTTTTGCACCTTCGGCTTTTAGCGACCAAACCAAGTTCAAAAACTCTAGGACAAGGGAGGCTATTGGACAGGACCGTGCCGATATGCAAAAAGTCTGCCGGAGCATGGGGGTTCATCCCCCTTGAACACAGCGACGGATCAGCGTGCCTTCTCTAAAGTTACGGTAGGCTCAACTAACAAAGAGCGCCAGAATAAATCAATGGTTCGGGAGGCACATCCCCCGTCTGGCTGCAATCCTAAAGGTTTTAGAAACCAGTTCGGGCATTCGTGGTCGAGAGCAAAGCAAGCTCATCTTGACACTTGCGTCAAGCCGCCCTGCGGCTTTGGTAGACTGTCTGCCTGCGTCTTTTGCTGTGCCAAGCATTTCTGCCACGGCATCTTCTGCTTGTGTTCCGAGAGCTTTCGGATCTGCTTGCCGGCGTTTCCCACCCAGGGATGGCTGGACCGATCTGTGTGCGTCAGCCAGGCTTACGAAACACTCGCTGCTCGCCCGCAGCGACGACTATGACTATGCTGAGGGCAACGTCTCGTGCCTCTTGCTTTGTTGAATGGAGTTAGATCTTTCATTCCCCTTCTCAGAGCTCTCCACTTGTTCGTCTCCAGTTTGGGAGACAGACGGCCATCGCCACGCAAGACGTGAAGTGCATCAAGGTTGCAGGCTGCTTCTGAAAATCAAGAGTTGGCTGAATTAATGCAACTGCAACTCCAAACAGGGTCTCAAAGCTCTGGCGACAAGAGGATAAGTGATACCGGGATACCCAGCCTTCAAGCGTTGCCGGGCCACAGGAGCCAGGCGCCGCAGCAGCAAAGCGGCAGAGCCCCGAAGCAGCTCTGCGTCTCTCGGCCGAACCGAGCCGCCGCCGCTCGCAGAGCCCGGCGGGCGGCCAGCCGCCGCCTGCGCCTGCGACGTCGCCGAAAACCACAAGAAAAAGGCTCCCCGAACCTGAGGCCCAAGGCCAAACCTTGTCTTGGGCCCACAGGCGCGCAGCGGCCCAGGCGGCATTCGCAATGTCATGTGCATTCGCATCCTCGGCCTCAGGCACTTCTAATTTTGCGACTCTCAGAGTGGCGGAATGCTTCATCTTCAAATTCGCACCGCAAAATCCCCTGGCCGGCCTGGCTGCGCAGGAGGCTTGCGGCTCTCCTCGCGAGCTTGAAGACGGGCTCGCGGCTGCCTTGGCGCTGCGACGCCGGCGACTTTTGCAAGGCGTCGTTGATGTACGTCAGGGCGACAAGGATGTTGCTGAGACCACGTGTGGCGATTCTGTCCTGCTTCAGGTGGGCGTCCACGAGTGAAACCACTGCCCGGACATCCGACACCTCTGCGGCTTTGCCTTTCAGTTTCCCCAGCTTCCAAAGACATGTGATTGCATGGATTGAATCCAGTCTGTCTTTATGAGCTTTGATGATCTCGAGAATGTCTCGGGAAGTCGATGTCTGATGAATCAAGAGTGTCAGCTCCTTCTTGGATGGCTTTGTCCGCCAACGCGGTGGTAGTGCTGAGAAGCATCGCGCAACTAGCTTCCTGGTGACGCCCTGCACGTGAGGGCCGTGAGGGTTGAGATACATCGAAGCATTGCTCCGACAGCTCAGGCCGCTGATCACGGCCCGCAGCCCCGAAAAAGCAACTTCTTCGAAGGTGCTGCAACGTGCATGTAACACTCACCGTATTGAAAGGACATGCACACGTGAGGAGACTTCGTAGCTGGAGAGGAAATGCTACGACAACCTGCAAAGTGGCATGAAGAAGCTCGAAGCTTCCGGGCTGGATGTCACTCTCTTCTCTCTTTCCGCTCGGCCAGCTCCGCACACCTAGAGCGTGCTCCGAATGCTCTCCGGGCGGTGAAACACACCCAGGGGTGCCTGGGCCACTTCGTTAACATCGCACAGCACGCCTCCATCACGGTTCGGCGAGCGGCGAGCTCTCTGAATTCATATGGGCGCGAGCATGAGAGCTAGCGCGAGCATGAGGCTCAGCCCGTCCTGCTTCAAGCGCTGCGCTGTCAAGTCTGCGCTTCGCTTCGGAGCGACTCGAGGGCCCGGCCGGCTTCGCCAGCAGCGCTCCGCTGGCGGTGAGAGTTCCGGTCGTCGTGGTCTCGGCATGGTGCATTGACAAAGAGCGAGAGAGTTCTCACATGTTCTCGCAGTTTAGCAGTCCAGGTACGGCCGAAACAGTTATCGTGGTAACGGTGGAGCTGGACAGCGTGGTGACGCTTGTCGCTGACCTGAGAAACGGCATTTTTGTCCGGAATCGCAGTGCAAGATCTTTCCCGGGCCTCGTGGTTGTGTAGCTGGTGCTGGAGTACGTGGATGTGGTTGTCGTGCCCGTGATCGTGCTGTTGCTGGTTGTCCTAAGCGCGTCGCGATTGACAGCTGCACCTGCTATGGCCGTGGACTATGATGGAAATCTCAGATCCTCGCGTTGTGCTTGCGGTGGTGTTCGTGAAAGACCTCCAGTCATGAAGGACGCTACCAGTACCACAGGAAGCTCTTTGAGACGTTCCATTAGGGTGAGTCCGTAGCGTAGTTTGACTTGTCGTGGTAGACGAAGTAACCTGAAGATCGACGAAGCCGACAGAGGCCTTGGTGGCAACAGCCTGCAACAGCGACCTTTTTTCTCCTTCGCAAGGCATCGGGGGAAGTGGGGGAAGCGAGCTTTCGGGCCCCGGCTCCTCCCAGCAGATGCCAATTCTCCTCAGGGGACGGGGGCAGTTTCGCGTTTCGCGAAGACCAGCGACAACCAGCGAGAGCGAGCACAGCCTTGTACGGACTTATCTGAATGGCTGTTGCGCCAGCAGGAACCTCAGGCGAAAGAGGTGGAAGGCCACTTGTATTTTTGTGGCACGAACTGCTGAGGTGCCAGCAGCCACGGACTTCAGATCAAAGCCTCCGACTTCGATGTCTCTAACGACTCGGGGACTCTTCGACACACTCCGGCACGCTGAACACAGCCGAGGTTCTGTAGCGCCATGGATCACAGCAGACAGCCGGAGGGTAGTTTCGCTTTGGAACCTGCTGTCGCGGGGTGCCCTTTGAAATTACGGCTTGCAACCCTCGCAGCCAGCCTTCCCAAACTCCGATAGTTCCGCCCCACCTCAGGAGACTCGCATCACAGAAGCACCAGTTTCGAGAGCCGTATCATGGCCTTTCGTCAAACTTAGTCAGAGGCAGGCATCCACGAAGGTCAGCCGGTAGCCCCAGAGAAGGCTCTCGTCAGCCTCCCCACCTCGTCGAGTCCCAGAGTCTGGTCATGGGCCATGGGTTTCTGGACCTCAGCCTGCAAACCGGTCCCCACCTCGCTGGTTTGGGCCGAAGTGCAGGCGGCCTGTGAGGACCCCCGCCCGCGGGTCGCTGTCCACGAAGGCCTCGATGCTGCAGACCTGGGTAAGCCGAGGCCACGTTCCTTTCAAGGCTCGGGGACAGTCGTTGCACCTTGCAGAGCAGGTTCCGCGACATGGGGATCAGTGTGATGTCCTGCGCTTCCGTTGCTTGCGCATGCTTGCGCATGCTTGCGCATGCTTGCGCCAGCTTCTCCGAAGCGCAATGCGACTCAGCTCCCAGCATCATCCATGGGACAGAAGAATTGAGTCAGGCCGGACTCGTAACACTCCTCGAGCCATCCCTCTCTCTCTCTCTCTCAAGTGCGTCTTGGCGCGGTGTGAAGGTCGGCACTCGCCTGAAGACTTTCGGCCCACATCTCGATGAAGAGCAGCTCGCAGAAGCCACCTCGGCCTCGGACAGGCGAAATCTCTCCGAGGCCGCTGCGCGCTTCATGGCCGTGCGAGCCGCTGCGCGAGCCGCCGGCCCACGGAGTTGCAGGAGCTCCCCGTGAAGAACTTGACGCCTGCGAAAAGAAGAGACTGCGGTGGCATGGCGGTGCAGCGAGAAGAGCATCGCCGATCGCACGGGGCTCCCCGCGGAGCCTGGCCAGATATCGCCTTTGAAGCGAGGAAACGGATTGCGGTGTCTCCGACGGTGTCGGCAAGCCGGGTGCCCCCACGTGTGTCGCAGAACTTCAAGGTGGTGGTTGTGGAGGTCGTCGTCGTGGAGCTCGTGGTCGTCGAGCTGCCGCACAGTGCACAGACTCTGCGCCACTTTCAGCGGTCTCGCACGGCTGCGACTGGCTCGGGCCCGGGCCTGGAGCTGCTGGTGACACCTCAGAGGCGAGAAAAAGCTCAGCCGCTCTTAGCCGCTCCTCGGCCTGTGTGGCTCTGCCAAGGGACTGGAGCTGGAAGAGCTGCTGCTCGTTGATGAGGTGGAGGATGAGGATGTGCTCGAGATCGTAGACGAGCTCACGGTGCGTGTTGTTGAGGTGGTGGTCGAGGACGTTGTAGCAGTTGTGTTCGAAATCGTGCTTGTACTGCTGGCAGTGGTGCTGCTGGACGTCGATCTTGTGGTGGTAGTATAGGTCACGGATGATGCTGTCGAAGTTGTGCGTGTACTAGATGTGATAGTGGCACTTGTCGAAGTGGTCGTGGAGGTGTCTGTCGCAGTGGTGGATGTCGTCAGCGTAACGTTGAAGTTGGTGGAACTCGTTGACGACAGTGATGTCGAGGACAGCGTCGTCGACACAGTTTCTGTGGATGAAGTGACGGACACAGTAGCAGAAGTTGACGTGCTTGATGTCTTAGTCTCTGATGTCGTGGTGTCTGTGGAGGTGGTATCTGTTGAGGAAGACATGGTCGAAGTTGAGGATGTTGACGTCGTCGACAGCGTCGTTGAAGACGACCCCGTTTGCGTCGTTGTGGACGACGAAGTGTACGTGGTGGAGGTGCTGCTGGAGGTCTCGGTGCCGCTGGTGGTTGTGTTTGACTGAGTGGTTGTGCTTGTCAGAGTATGGGTACTACTGGTGACCGTTCGTGATGAGGTAGATGTTACTGATTTTGTGGAGCTTGTGGAAGAGGAACGTGTGACCGACGTGCTTGTAGTGGATGAAAATGTTTCCGAGGAGCTGCTGGTGACGGAAGTTGTGCGGCTCGTGGTGGAAGACGTGCTGCTTGTAGTGGAAGATGCAGTGCTTGAAGTGGATGTCAAGGACCTCGTCGTGCTTGTCGACGAGGTGCTTGTCGATGACAAAGTACTTGTAGACGAAGCACTACTGGTGGTTGTGGTAGTGGTTGTAGTCGAGCTCGTCGTTGCGGTCTCGGTTGTGGTTGTCGAATCCGTAGTGGTGCTTGTCCAGGTTGTAGTAGTTTCGTTTGTCAAGTTCGTGAGGGTGGTCGTTGAAATTGAGATGGAGGTGGTGGTTGAGGTGGACGATTCGCTGCTAGAGCTCGACGATGTGCTTGTCTGCGTTTGAGTCGTGGTCGTGGCGTTGCATGTGACTGCCGGGTCCTCAAGTAGGCGCAGTGTATGACGGCCGTCAAATTCCACAACAGCAGAAGGAAAGACTGACTGTAGGGTGCTCCCCCTCTAGCACCCGCCTGATCCTTGAGCAGCGCCGTTCCGAGGAGGATGCCGGGCGGCAACATGGCATGGCCTCATGTGCAAAGCTGGCACTGCTGAGACCTCGAGGCTCAGCAATGCTCTGCGCTGCTCTGCAGCTTGGTAGCAGTGGTCGGTCGCAGACACGAACCAGCGCAGCCAGGTCTTGGAAGCGCAAAACGCACGGGCCCGGACACTTCGGAACTTCGGGAGAATCAGAGCACGGCGTGGGCAAGCAACCACTTCCATCTGATCATTGCATTCACCTGGTGCTACAGATACAGATCCTTCCTTCCCTAACCTTGCAACAAAAGCGCCTCATTCCAACCTGTCCTTGCCGAGCCATGCCACTGTTCACAATCCCTGACGGGGACTTCCGTTTGAGCCACAGAAAACCTGGAACGCCGGCATAGATCAGTCAGCCCAATCCTGCAGGACTTGCGCAAACTGAGCGTGCTTATATCCACAAACGAATTCAAACACGACTCGGTTCTAAAGGCACACTTCCATCGCGGCGCTTCTTTGTTTACACTTTTTGAAACTTTGAAGAAGCTGGGCGCGTGGGTGCAATCAACAACTCCTTTGCCAACGAAGCCGGTTGCCGATTGCAGCGGAACGTACCTGTAAAAAGGAACGCTCATGGGCTTCCATGCAGCTTGAGGTTCCTCTTGTACATCCGTAGGGACGGGGAGCAATTGCCACATGATGGTCTGACCATAGAAAATTCTGGTATGTGTCCTTTTACAGCTGCTCCTAGAAAACAAGATGCAGACGCGGTGCAAAATGGAACTGTGATTCGTCTACCAAGCATTGCTCTACCGTTCATCCACAGTACCTGCTTTTATTTCTGTGAAGCAGTTGAAACATACTTTTTAGTGCGTGCCAAACCCCATCCAAGCGGTCCAAACGCAAAACGTGAATTTCATGGATTCATTGTTGAATTTTGTTGCCGGCCTTTCCTTCGACTAGCAATGTGGTTTACCCGTTGGGATCTTGATAAGACTGGTGGATGAAATTCTGACCGTATTGGTTCAATCCAGATTGAATTCCTCTGTGTGCGCAGTGCACGCTATCGCGTCCGAGTCTGCAGTCTGCAATGAGGCCACAGACCAACGCGACAATGAACTTCATTGCGGCTGATTGCGCAAGTTTTCACATAATGATACTTGCGATGCTTTTTCACCTTGGCAAGGTATCTGCAAAGAGGAAGGCTCATGGGCTTCAATGCAGCTTGGGGTTTCAAGCAAGTCCCTAGAGACAGGGATGCAGCTGGCATTGCTTTCCTTCTGATGGCATGTGTCAAAGAGGCGCTTTAGGCCAGTTCCGGTCCCGGGCCCTTTATTGATCTCGGACATTTTTGGATCTTGACTGTATCAAGACCGTCCTAACCAAAGGTTGGAGGCTGCGGATCAATACACAAGTAAGTGTGTGTGTGTGCGCGCGCGTGCGGTTAAACTTCAGGTGCAGGGAAGGAGGGCATGCAAGGACTCAAAACGACCGGCAGTTTAGTTTAGAACTCGAAGATGCCGAATGGCAGGAGGCTGCACTGGCTGACAATAACCTTTTTCGAGGCTGATCCCAGGCTTGCCGGGTCCCTTAGAGGACGCTGAGCAGGAACCGAGAGCTAAGGCAGCTAAGGCATGCAGGCGGAGTTCGCAACGAATCACGGTGTATTCGGCAAGCCGACCGAACTGCGCACGGCAGACTTCGCACGTCTGGCCCCAGCCTGCAAGACGCGAGCTCCGTACTGGGCACTCTGCTCAAACTTTCTCAAGGTCTCTGGCACTGGAGCCTCTGGGCGTGGCTCCAGGATGGCGCGAGCCTCTGACACCCGTCCCGTCGTCACGTGAGCGGCCTTTGACTTGGTCCTCCGAAGTCCTCCGCACCTTCTGGAGCTCGAACTGCATCATGAGGGCCCGCCTCGGCTCGACATGGCGAAGTCCCGCCCTTCTCAGCCTCGAAAAGGACGAACGGCCTTGTCGCAGAATCGGCCTCGCGAGAGAACTCCGAAGCTCGGTGGCGAAGACCTGGGAAGCGTCAGAAGGCCCCGTCAGAAGAAAGTTGGGTTTACCACTTGCCCTTGCCCTCGGGCCACCGCGCTTGTTGTCCGTAGACTGCTCACCTCAAGACAGAGCTCCATAGCTAACCCAGGACACACCCGCGAGACGTGCTCGGCATCCCGCATGCAAGCAGGCGATGTCCGGTTTCCTGGCTTCTGGCTTGCAAAGCACACGCCAGCATCGCCCGTCAGAAAGAAGGGGCTTTCAGCACGATGCGGGGCATGGAATGCCAGTGTGGGCCTGCAGTCGGCATCCTGTCGATCGCAGCAACTGGGCGCAGCTCGCCACCGCCGCCCTGCAGTGCCGCTTGCAGCGGCTTGAAGGCACGGACGGAGACAGAGCGAGCCTGCAAGTCTCCCGCGCATCGCGGGCCTCGTTCAGCTCCTGCTCTGCAGCCTCCAACTCAAGGGCACTGCAGTGCACTCTGCAGTGCTGTCAGTGCTGTCAGTGCGTCTGCTGATGGCCATGGCGCCTTCAGCCGCGGATGACTTTCCCGCAGTAGCCGCCGGGCCTCAAAAGGGCGGTGCCGGTCCACTTGGCAATGGCCATTTCGGGGACCACAAGCCACATCGTGCGAGTTTGGGACTGTCTCGAGGATCTCCGTCCTTCGCTGGGCTTGGAGGCCTCACGTCGAGGGCTTCAGTCAGACGTTCTGGGCGATGGGCTTCCACTGTGCCCCCAGCGGATCTGCAGAAGCTCTTCTGCATCCCAGTCGAGCACCTGGCCGGGCCGTTTCTGCTGCAGATTGGAGATGTGGGGTGCGAACCGCCTCGTTGGACTTCTGACCCTTGGTGCCTGATATCAGGGGGCCGAGCTCCCAAACATGCCCTTCGAGATTCGAGACAAGAAGCAGGCTTCGCCGGGTCATCCGGTGCAGTCCAGTGGCGCATTTGCTCTTTGGCGAGATGCCACGGCGAGGCATGCACAGCAGTGCGGCAGTTGCCGCAACTCTGCAAACAACTAGATATGCAAAACATTGCGACTGCCCCGGCTAAACATGGTATGAGCTACCCAGCTGCTACCGAGCTAGCCTTCCGACTTTCCTCCAGAGCCTGAATTCCTGCGGAGACAAGAGATCCAAGAAAATGGCCTTGAGGCGCCGGCAGTCGCTGAGTGGGGCTCAGCAGTTCGCATCTCTGTCTCCTGTTTTGCCTTGTTTTGCCAATCGCCTGTTCCTCGAATCGGCTCCCCGGATTGGCAACTGAGCCTGAGCAAGCCAGTAAGCAACTCGAACTTCGAGTTCAGCGAATGCAAACGAGGGCTCAAGGCCCCCGGCCCCGCCCCACAGCAGTCCGGACACCTTCCGCAAGGCCGGAGCCTAGGCGCCGCCAAGGCACCGCGCCTTCGGACACGCCCAGCCAAGTGCCCGGGGCCGAGCCTGGGCCTCCCCTGTGCCCCCTGCCTCGTGGAAGATACCGACGATGGCCGCCAGCTGGATGGCGTCGCTGCATCCCTGCCCAAAACTCTGAGACCGCAGAGGCTCACCACAGGAGGGCCTATGAGCCTATGGCGGCGCCTGCTTCAGACGCCAATCGACGTCGGCCAGGGCCACCGTCAACTGCAAGCGTTGCCGCACCTCCCAGAGGGAGAGGCAGAGTGAGTGAGTGAGTGAATGAATGAACAGAAGACCGGTAGAAGCTGGCAGCCCCGACCGGCAAGTCCAAGGCCACGATCTGCTTGTGCATCAGCTGCCTCTTTAGCTCCGGGCGGGACGCGAATCGAGGAACCAGACTGGTGACTCACCAGACTCCGTCGCCAAGCTGCAAAAAATCATCCAAAGCGTAGCCTTTGTCATGCAGCCTCGCGGCGAGCCCCGTCATGCAAGTGCTGGATCAGAACACGTAGTTTGAGATCCCAGCAGGCCCTTCAGTGACTTGAGAGAAGCAGCATACGACACCTCCAGGCAAACGACTCGGCTAGCCAAAATCATGCGACGCTGTGGGTGATTCCCACAAACGGGCTCCAAACCGTGCCATTCAGAAGCGTTCGCAGAAAGTGAGAGATCTCCTGGATCGAGCAACGAAAAACGGTGGCGGCCTGAGCCTTTGACTGCTCAGGCGATGTGCACCTCCGGAGCTGGAACCCCTGTCGAAGCGTACACGGCGCCAGCATCCACGCGTCCACCATGTCCTTGGGCATTCCACTCGAGTCGCGGCGGTCCTGCTCCTTGGCGAGAGGAACTCGGAAATCGGCCCATGGAGGTCGTCTGGAAGACGTTCAGAACCTTTCGCATGTCGCCACCCGCAACCTGACAGCTTGGAGTTGAAGATGCCCAGCCAGCTAACACAAGCCTCTCTCCGATGCCTGCACAATGGCCTTTGCACCATCTTTTGTCAGCTGGATCTTTTCGCACTGGGTCAGGGAAACCAGATTCAATGTGGCAGCGCTCACGACAACTCGGCTTTCTGGATTACTGCTTGTGAATCGGAAGGTCCTGCCTTTGCAACATACTCGAGCCTGCCCAGGATCTGCTCCTGCGTAAACTGAGCTGATGCTTGGAGGGCGCTTCGCCAACCTCCTGTAACCAGCATGTCAGTTATCTCAGTTGTCTCCGTCCTCTGAGAGTGGCGCGAAGCGAAGCTTTGTGCACCGCGACCTGATACATGACGGCTCCGGGCCGTGCAGCGTTGAAAAGCCCGTGCTAGGCTTCCGACTGCAATGCTGGAATGATTTTGCTGCTGTAGTTGCAGATCAGTATAAAGCGGCAGTTGGAGGCATACCTGGCTTCCGCTCACGGCTCTCGAAACACGACTGCGCGACAGAATCGAGGCACTGCTCGATCATCCGTCGTAGGGCAAACTGCGCTGTGCTTGTC